AGTTTCGGTATAGATGTTGCAATGATTCATATCTAAACCTTCATTAAAATATTTATTGAATGTTTGTCGTGTTATAATTAATCTGCAATTACACTGAATGCACTTCTATATGAATGCACTTCTTTAATATTTGTAATATTTAATATTTGTAAAGAAACATGAATCATTTTAATATGCAACAAGATGATTGACAGGACAGGTAACTAAGCAACAGAATGGTATATTAATGAGGAAGCTCTGTAGTTTTTCCAGACTAAAAGTGTCTATTTTTAGGACGCAGTATAAACAGGTGAATTGGGACGCAGCACAGGTTTATAATGGGAACTGGATGCACATGGATGGTCATTTATTAATATTATTTTATTTCAACTGGTTAGGGCTGGTTTAGATCAATAACTAACCAGCTAGTGTGTGCTCTGTGTTCTATAACCTTATTGCATTTTCATATTTCACTGGAAATGTTGAACAAGAAGTCATTTATGAGAAGCAAGTCTAACTTTCACCAACATTTCAACCCTCCCTCACTGCAAACATCTGACTTTACGACAAGGATTCATTTGTTAACTAATAATAAACAATACTTCTAAAGCACTGACTACATTTGCTCATCCTTTTCTTCTGCTGAACACAAAAGAAGATACTTTGAAGAATGTTGGAAACCATTGACTTCAGTAGTAGGAAAAACAAACACTATGAAAGGCGATTTTTACAACATTCTTCAAAATATCTTCCTATTAGTTTCACAGAAGTAAAAAAAACAAATCATAAATGTTTGCAACAAGTGAGTAAATGATGACAGAAGTGTAATCTTTGTGGTGAACTGACCCTGTAAATTACAAAACCTCATCATAAAGTGTTATTTAATTGTGTCCTGTTTTCCCAGACATTCTTATAATCACTTAATGTTTAAGACTGAAATGTATCAAATAAAATAAGTGAGCTTAGTGTTGAAATAAGAACAAATATCTGGTTTTATTAAGCATTTAGCGAACACTTTCACTCAAAACATGATTATTTACGAATTTTTGTGTGCATTTCTTCTTGTTTTAAGCAAAAACCCACATATGGAATTATTATAAGTCATTTTAATGCATATTAATTTAATAATTCTCAAACACTGGGAAAAAGGACACACTTTTTGCAGTGCAAACACATTTCTAATATGTTTGCTTTGACTAAAGGGTCAGTTAACACTACAGCAGTGAACTAAACATGGAAAAGCTCCTTCATGTTTTAAAAAAGTTTTCAGTTTTTCCATTTTCAGTTTCGTTTTAAACAAAGTTATGCCGTCTAAAAGCCAAAATGCTAAAACAAGCAACGAAATCCACCAATCAGAAGCAGTTTTTCTGTCCCATCTTACAATAAGGTTTCATTAGTGAATGTATTTACTATCATGAACTCATTATGAGTTGCAGATCAACAATTACTGATGCATTATTAACATCTACATCCATGCTTGTTAACATTAGGTAATGCTTAATTAACATGAACTCACAATGAACAACTGTATTTCCAATGACCAACATGAACAAATACTGTAATAAATGCAATGTTCACTGTTTGCTCATGTTAATAAATGCACATCTAGCAGTAACTAACACAACCTCATTGTAAAGTGTTTCCAGTTTTTCTCTAAATAACGCTGTCCTGTATGAGATCTGACTGTAGACAGATCAGTCTTGTCTTGTTATTGGTCACTTATTTAGAAAAAAGAGCTTTGATTTATTGTGTGCACTGCAAAATATGCTGTTTTTGTCTTGATTTTAGTCCAAATATGTTAAAATCTTTAAATGATGAAGCATTTTCTGGACAAGTCTACAATATTGTCTTGTTTTCAGAAATAATGAGTCAAAATTAAGTGAGTTTTTCCTTAAAACATGCCCAAAAATAATCCACCAATGGGGTAAGCGAAGTAATCGTACGCCAAAGCTAAAGCAAGATTATATAACTCATCATAGCAGATTATTTAGCTTGTTTTAAGGAGAAACTCACTTAATTTTGTCCCATTATTTATGAAGACTAAACAATATTATGCGCCTGACTAGAAAATGCTTCTTGATTTAAAATCTTTTTGCATATTTGGTCTAGAAACAAGACAAAAACTTGAAGTAAAGCATGTTTTGCAGCGCATACCAAACACACACACACACACACACACACATACACTCATCCAGAACTCTCCTGTGGGCATGCTGGGACAGAGCTGGACATAGTGAGGTTGATCAGAAGAGTGAAGCGCTACGTCAATCAAAGTCAAAGTACAAATAAATAACAACAAAACACACAACCAGACTCATGAAGCACGAGTCCACGAGCTCAAACACACACACACACACACACACCACAAACTATGAGCTTCGACCTCAGAGATTCAGTCTCCACTTCCAGAACAAACATCTGAAGATCCTCAAATCAAAAGCAGCAGAATGACTGAAGATCTTTTGTCATCAAAAATGCAAAACTCATATCAACCAGTGTTTCCCATTTTGTTGTTCTTCTAACCATTAGCATTTAGATACAGCAGGTTTCTAGATCAGAGTTCAGTAAATGTTCCTTCATTTAAAACCACATCCACATTAAGCAGAGGCATCCTTATTCAATCTAAAATGTAAAAAGTGTAAATACGAAACCATTGAAGCTGACTATGAATGATGTAGTATCCATGCCGGACCAGTATGTGGTGCTGTACTTCGTCCACAGAGATGTACAAATGAATGTAGAAAAACACTTAGTGCATGTGTGTAAATTTTGCATGATGTATATTAATGATTAGCAAGCTTTAAACCAGTGGATTTGGTTTTAAAGCACAGATAAAATTCACGGCAACAGATAAAATTGTTCACATATTAGTGACTTGTTGGAGAATCTCATAATTAAACTCAGTATTTTGAGGAAAACGACAGAATT